CCCCAAAACCCCAAAACCCCAAAACCCCTGAGAGAAGATTTCTCATACATACAAACTATCAGATAAAATAAATAAATATTTTTTTACAATTATTCTATCGTTTTAAAATGAAACTTACTTCTAAATATGAGGAATTCAAAAGAAATAGAAAGCATCTTTCTCACAGAAAAGTTTTGTAAAATGAGAACTAAACCAAGTCAAGTTTCAGCTTAATCAAAGACGTATATGCATACTAGAGTTATCTACCTGCAAGAAACAATTTTAAATAGTAAGATATGAATCACTATAGGCTCACATCTAGATCATCGAATTCCCGAATAATCAGGCCAGGTACTGAAATGAGTAATGTCAAATCAGTTAATGAATACTCAGAAAACTTTATGATTCTAGATGAAAGCAAGAATTTCTGAAGTGAAATACATCCAAAGGAAATTGATCAGATGTATAATCTTAGTGGGTTACCAATAGATGTTATACAGCAAGATAAGTAAAAGTCTAAGTAGATGCATTAAACGCCTACTTTATCTTAAAAGTACAATGATAGCAATAACAAAATAAAGATTACCAAGGGTAAACGCCCTCTTTCGAGTATGGTGGCTAAATCAACTTAGAATATTAGGAATGATAATACTTCAAACTATGTAGTAAATTATAATGACTATCAATAGATGAGTGCTGGCAAATCAAACATCATGTCTAGAGGCAGTAATAGTAAATAGAGGATGTAAAAGATATATGAAGCCTATGAATAGATAAGTCTAAGTAAGTAAAGACCTTTTAAAAGCAGCTCAAGCAAATAGAGATTCAGTTAAAAGTCGATAGACACTTAATTAAACATAGTAGATGATTACTATAAAAGCCTAAATAATAATGATGAGATTGAAAGAATAAGATTTGTAAACGACTATCAAAGACTCATGCAAATAGTAAATAAGATCTATAGTGCTGCTTCAATTTTTCCTCAAAAAGAAAAAATAGCTGTAAGAAAGCTCTTAGAAAAAGAAGTTCTTCAAAACTAGTCTCAAAACCCCTAAATTTTGTTCAGAGTCAACAAATATATAATTCGTGTTTAAAAGATTATTGAAATAGACTAATAACTTGCTGCCCTAATAGAAGATCGTGAATCAAATATACTAAAATTGAAGAAAATAAGTCAATCATTTACCATAAATGAGTTTATTGAAAAAGAAAATGGGATCTAGGTACTTCTAAATATTAGGAAATATGCATTAAGGATACATCATTTATTCAAACAATATTTGAGTTACATCAATACTGAGCACCAGAAATATATAGGCCTTCTAAAATGCTCTAAGATTAATACTGAACAAAAATGCTATATGTGTAAAATGAGAGATCTTGAAAATGAAGATTTGAAAAGAAGTTCAGTCTTATTGATGAAACTTAATGTATTTATAAGTGATTTTACTCTTAGTATACCCAAAAGCTAATAAGAAATCTTTTTAGACATACAAAAAATGAACCAGAAAAAGAATTATTTTACTATGAATGAGGTGGCCTCGTTTGACAAGATAGCTGATTAGCTGCAAGTTAAAGAGGGCTCTAATATTTACAGATAAATGATTAAGCTAAGAGAATTTCAGGAAGTGCATCACAATTCAAATTATTAATCTATACAAGCAACTGATTAAAAGAATTTGATTACTTAATCTGGATTAGGTATTGCAAATAACTTTGTTATTAGGTTTAATTGGAGTTTTGAAGATAATGACTAGGTAGACAAAAGTATCAGTGGATTGTCTCCATCTCATAAATTAGAGAGCAAAGTATCTAGGAATAATTTATCTTAGAGAGCTCAGAGTGCATTGAACAGATTAAAATAGATGATGAGCAGAGGAAATGATAAAAAATTCAATACAGAACCCTAGCATGATTAGTTTGAATCTATAAATCAAATGAAAGAAGAAGCTACTTATAGGGAATGTATCAACATATTTTAGAATCAAAATAATAACGAGGATGTCAATTTGTAGAAATCAGATATTAAGACTGATCCCAAAATGAAGTTAGAGTTTCTTGAAGATATTGAAAACAGTAGAATTGGCTCGATTGAACCTATTGACATAGATCATAACTTTAAGCATATTTCAAGTAATGATCACCTTTAACCAACCACTAATGGAAAAGAACAGCATAGATATTAATAGATCTTTAATGAAACAAGCAATACTAAAACTACATATTAGATTCAAAATGAAGGAGGGAAAAAATCATTTTAGGCAAGCCATCATAATTAAAATTCAGGTGCGTCAACCTAGCTAAAGTAATATAACAATCAAGAGCAAATTATCATTCAAGAAAATTAGAGCATTCACACATTGTAATCAGAATCGACCTATAAACACCAACTTAAAAAGGAAATTGATGATGAGAATAAAAAAGTAAGGCATAAACTATACAACTACCAAAGAAATCTAATGCCAAAGATAAACTCAAACTCATTTTAGAGACCCTAGACTCAGTAAAATACCTAATAGTAAGTTTAGAACAAGAGGAGAAGTTTACTGCAAAATGAAAGTAGAGCGATGACTGCGAAGAATAATCCAAGATAAAGACTAATGTCATAAATTGATTAAAATGCTGTTGACTAAATTCAATCGCAAAATGATGATGAGAATATTATTCAGAAACAAATTAAACTTTACGAGTCTATACGTAATCATAGATAGATATCAAGTGAACCTCACTAAACTATTAAAAATAACGACAGTTTCAAAGATTGAAAAACAAAAATGAAAAATTAATTAAAGCGATTACTGATTACCTTTTAATATTTGATTTTTGGCATTCAGGGGTTTTGGGGTTTTGGGG